ACCGGCCGCGGGCGGAGGGAGGCACGCAGGGAGGGACGCGGGGAGGGGCGGCCCGGCCCCGGGAACCGGAGGCGCGGAGCCTCCCGACCCCCGACGTGACGCCGCCCCGGCGGGCAGAGCCCGGCCCCGGCCCCCGGTGCGCGCCCGCCGAGCATCGCTCCGGTCCTTCGGTCTGAGCGGGCTCTGCCACGTCTGACGGGCTCCAGACCGGGAAGTGCTCGAGGCCGGTTGGACGGGGCTTGGAGCTGCCTGGTCTAATGGAACGAGATGGGCTTTAAGGTCCCTTCCAACCCAAACCATTCTGTCGTTCTATGAAATTCACAGGGGGTGAAGGCGTGAGTGTGAACCAGGTTGGCTCTCAACCCTGCACGGTGCCAGGATCTGTCTGGAGGGCAGGGAGGTCTTGCCCACTCTAGAGGTGCAAAGCTCTGCACCTTCACTGCTCTTTCTTGGGTGGGTTCTGCACACCTTCCTTCTGCTGCATGGGCTGCCCTGGAAATCACCGTGGAAACGGTGCCAAACACTGTGGGGATGTTGCAATTCCAAAAAGATGCCCACATTGCCAGGGAGCTACAGCAGAGCCATCAAGGGGGTTTAGCCATCATTTCCTCTTGCAGCCTCACTCTGTGATTAATTACCCGAGGAGGTTGTAGGCAAGTGTTTGGGTTGCTGGCTTGCTCCTGTTTGGAAGGGTGTGGAGACAATCCAGCACCTGAAAATATTTTCCCATGGAAAAGCAAGGGGAGAAATATCTACACCATTTTTGTCGCACTATCCTGTCTTCCACCCCTCACTCTCATCACCGCGAGTTGACAAGTCGGTCCTGCCTCCACCTCATGCAAGTGACAAGCCAGATGAATGGGAAGGCTTCCTGATCAGCTAATGCATTTGTGTGGAGGGAACGTGGCAGCACACCAGTTTTATGTATATGAATTAGGGAGTGGGAGGACAAGAGCTACAAACCTCGAGAAATACAGTGCTCTTGCTGAGCAGTGCGTGGATGGCTGCAGGTGCTTGTGTGACTCCAATGCTCAGCATACCAACGCAGAGAGGCTTTTCAGCTGCTCGTCCATTTCAGGAAAAACTGGGAGAACAAAAAGCAAATAGAAATTAAAAGCTGGTCTTTATTTCGCAGAGACCTCGGTGAATTGCTCAGACATGAAGCCGATAAACATAGAACAGCTCCAAAGTCAGATGCTTGGTTTAAAAATGTAAATTCTGCTTTTCTTTTCAGTTGTGGTTTGTAGGTGTATCAGTGCCTTTGCAAAAATCACCTTCTAAACGAATGTCTCCATTAGGGATGGAAGAATGAAATCAGGTAAACTCAAAAGCAGAGTGAAACCTCGTTCCAAAAAATGGGATTTAGCCTTTAAGTTTAATGAGGTTCAACAAACTTCCCATTTGAAATATACGTTTGTACCTCTGGGCTTTGGGGGTTTGGACAGAGTGGGGAAATGAGATACTGAAACAGCAGCAGAGAAGCTATTTCCATAGCTTTTTAAACCTATTGAGCCTTAATTAATATTATTTATTTGTATTATGGTGTTGCTGGGAGAGATGCTTATGGCTGGAGCGGGGGGAGGGGAAGGGCTGGGTGGGCTGTACCCAGAGCAGAGATGGCTCTGAAATGTCCTCCTTGAGCACTCCCAGTCCAGACATGCCACAGGACACAGTGGGGGTGGTGGATGTTCTGGTGGGCTCTCAGCAGCCTCCACCAGAGAAAGGGGACACGCAGCACCAGGGTTTCCACGGGCTCAGGGCCACCAGCCCTGCAGCAACGCTCCTATTGACTGGGCAAGGTAACAGCACATTAACAGCATTTATTAATAAAATATCTTGCTTCACTCCCTCCCCCTCCCATTTTTGCAAAGAAGACATCTGTTTCTGTTTCTCCTGCCCTGAGAGAAATAACTCGGGCTCCTGAAGGGTTACAGAGCAGCATCCAAGGCAGGCAATCATTTTCTGCCCAAGCTCTCGTCTTTAGTTTAAAAATGTTCTCTATTCTTTTGAAATGCATGAAGTAGATTGTGGGAGAGCTAATATTATATTCCACTACAGAAAGCTGGTGGAGTATTTTACATTGATGTCTGGCTCTAGTGATTTTCTAAGGATTTTGAATTCATTAAATCCAACCATTGAATAATCTCCATTCGTGGCGGAAGGAAGGCAAAAGTGCTTACGCTCTTCAACAGCAGAAAAGCGTGTAGTCTTTTCTTAAACACGAAATCTCTCTGACCCACTGCATGCAGCACAGGTTGCCCACCGTGCCACCTTTGATTTGCAGGCTTTGCTTATGATATAGCCTTATAAAACTGCCATTGAATGTAGCAGCAGAGCCTTGGCAGGGTGTTTTGCACTGCAGCAGCCTCCTCCGTCCTCAATCAGAATTAAGATCCAATTGTTCCAAGCTCAGACCAGAGGCAGAAGCTCAGGACAATGAGAAGAGAAAGCCCCACAGCGTCTCCCTGTAATTCAGCACGACAACGTGCAAGGACAGGAGTCCAAACCCAGAAATAATTTTTACCCTGGAGAAACAGAATCTAGAAACAGAATTGTTTTGATTCCTTGACGTTGATGTTCAAAGCTTTAAATGAAATCTTGTGCCTGATCATTTTATTTCTGAACTGAATAACAGTTACTTTGGAGACAAAACTTTGGCTTTAACTGAATTCAGTGAGAACTGTCACTAATAAAATCCTGCCCCAGAGACACCACTGATATCAGAAGAAAACTGCAAGATGTTACCATTTAGCATTACTGCTGCTAAGTGTCAAACATATTGAGTTTAACAGATTAGGCTTTCTTAGATTTTTTTTTTTAATCTATCATCTAGAAAAATAACACTAGCATTTCACTGAAAGAAACTTTTGGAAATTGCTCAAGGAAAACTCGAGAGAGTTCTTTCTCAGAATGAAAATAATCACTTCAATTAAATAGGGTTTTTGATGTAGATACTGTCTAACCATCATCAAAGTCTGGAACAAATATTTCATCCTCCCTTGTTCTTTCTCAGCTTTTAGCTCTGTGCACGTGAGAATGAGTTTTAGCATCTAGGAATGTCCTAAAACTGTAAGGACATCTATATAATTGGTTATTGTCATCTTCTGTGGGTTTTGGTGTCTTTCCTATCTAATTTGATGCTGATATTGGGGGAAAAAAATCCTTAATAACCTCCTTCAGATTATGATGTGTATGGAGAACTGGATGTTTCATCCATTTTTACAGTGTTGGATAATCTCCTTTTATCCCCAGGTCAGTAGTGGGATTTGGTTAAACCACCAGCTCAGCAGCAGAGCTTCACATCTCCAGCCTGAGCACAGGACCTTGGAAACCCTGGGATGTGGCAGAGGATGTCAGTGGGTCACAGGTATGTGTAAGGAGGAGTACTACTAAAATGGTTCCTGGAACTATATTTTCATGCACTTTGGATCAGATGTTGCAGGTTACTGTGACATCTACTGAACTACCTTAGGGGATCTTTGCAGAGCTGGATCCAAGTGATCAATCTCATACATTCTGTAGTGGAACAAAGGTTGTATTCACTCATATTTAGGGATGGTACAGAACCTGACCCACAGACCCACCTGTTCCTTCTATCATAATTCATCATAAATTGCAAGGACATTGTGCCTTTCACCTCTGAGGACCCCACTCTGTGCAGAGGGCCTTCTTTCTGCAGCCAGGCTGGCAGACAAGTCACCATCACATTTCAGAGGGTTCATTCTAGGAAAGGGTGAGCTTGAGTTTAGTTTGAGGCATTATAAGGCTGAATTTCTTTTTTAGTCCTTTCAAAGAGCATCTGGAGTGAGGGCAAAGAGTTTCAGATTGTCCTTCAGAGCTGAACAAATGGTCATCTTAAAGGAAAAATATTGTCATTCCTTGATGCTTTAGGGACAACAGCTTGGCCTAGATTCTATTATTCCTTTTAATATATTAAATATTCCTTGGCTTAGTCATGGGAAGCAAAGCAACACAACTGCTTTCTAATAAATAAAATGTGCTCAGAAGCAACTCTGAAGCTTTCCAGATAACTGCATTTTGAGTTTGCCAGGAAGCCAGATGCTGCTATTGGAAAAGTAGCTGCTATGGTTTGTCATCCGAGCCTAGAAATTGATACCCAAGAATGATATGATGAGACAGACTCGATGACAGCACTACTCTTTCTATAAATAATCTGAAGAAAACTTTTTTCATTAAAAAAAAAATGTTTTTTGTTAGAGACTTGCACAGCAAACCAGAAAATTAAAAAGGATAAGCATGCTGTGTTTGAATAGGGCCAACAAAAGAACATGATATACGCAATTTATAGAAGAATATATAGCAGCTCTCACACATTTTACACTACATAGGCTCTATTTTTCCCAAAATACCAATAGTTATGAAACTCATTATCTTTTTGACAATGGAGAAATGGAATATTATTCCTTTACTGGCTTGATCATGTCAAATGTCAAAGCAAATTATGAATGCTTGTCCTTCAAACACTCAGCCCTCCTGGAAAGATATTTAATATCAGTAGTATTCACATCCTGCTACAGAACAAACTAATACTGCACACATCTCACAGACCTAAAGCTCACTGTGCCTGTTGCTGCCATGCAATTCCATGTCTCAAGTCCTACCTCTTGTCCCTGTCCTAAGCATGGGGAAATTCATTGCAGTGCCAAATGGTACATTAACAATTACCCAGAGAAGGAGTTAAATCCATGAACAGGGTTATTTGTGAGTTTAAAGTGTTAAAAAGGGAATGGGAGAAAGAGCAAGTGGTTAATAGGAGTCTTGATTTTCATCATACTTCAACAGCTTTGGAGAGGAATGTCCTGATGAGATGTTATGGGAGTTTCTAGCACCAGAAACCTGCTAAAAGGCCAGTGAAAAAATCATAATCTTTTCAGTGCTGGA